CCCCCCCCCCCCCCGTGGAGCCTCCCGGTGCTGCCGCCGCCGCATCGCGGTGGGAGAGGAGTTTAATTTAAATTAATTTAAACACACCGGACACACTCCCTCCACCCCGCCGTCCCGCACTCCCCCCTTCGGGAGCTTTCCCCCCCCCCTTCCCCCCCGGGCAGTTGCCGAGTCACGGCCGGGCGGGGCCGCGGCGGGCGGGGCGGGGCCGGGCGGGGCGAGCGCCGCAGCGGGACCAGTCGCCAGCTCCTGCATCCCCGGCCCTGCCACTCGGAGCAGCAGCATCATCATCATCCTCCGCACACCCTCCCCCCCCGCCGGGCCCCGCACCCCCCCCTCCCCCCCGCGGCGGGGCCACCATGGCCGAGATCACCAGTGTCCACCCCGGCTTCGGTGAGTGGGGGCCGGGGAGGCGGCGGGGGGATCCCCCCGGGAGGAGCCGCCGGGGCCGGGCCGTGCGCGGCGGCAGCGGCCGCGCCATCGCTCCCGGTCCCTCCGCCCTCCCCCCCCCGACGGCCGCGGCCCCTCATTATCCGCCGCTCCCGCTCCCTCGGCATCCCCCGGCCCCGCTCCTTCGGCATCCCCCGGTCCCTCGGCATCCCCCGGCCCCGCTCCTTCAGCATCCCCCGGTCCCTCGGCATCCCCCGGCCCCGCTCCTTCAGCATCCCCCGGTCCCTCGGCATCCCCCGGGCCCGCTCCCCGAGCATCCCCCGCTCCCCGGGCATCCCCCGGGCCCGCTCCCCGAGCATCCCGCGGTCCCTCTGCTCCCGGGGGCGGCCCCGGGGGTGCTGCCGAGCCCCCCTCCCGGCGCTGGGGCGGTGCCAGCGCTCGGTGCCGGTGCCGGGGGTGGGGAGGGGGTCGCGGGGGGAGCGGGTGCGCGGCCGGGGCTCGGGATGACGTGATGTCTGTGCCGGGCCGCGCCCGCGCCCCGGCCCTTTGTTCGCGCTCCCGGGGGCGGCTGCGGCACCGGCACCGGCGGCACGAGGCGGGGCCCGGCCGGGACAACCGGGGGGTGCCGCGGGGGCGGGCGGAGGGGGGGTCCCGCAGCCCCCCGGAGCGCCGGCGGGGCCCGGGCGGAGTCGGGAGCTGGTCCCGGGAGCTCCGCGGAGGGGATGGAGAAGCTCCAAATCCCGCTGGGCCCCCGCGGGGAGAAGGGCCCGGGCCGGGCCCAACCCGGGCGGGTTTTGCCGAGAATCCTGGATTTTAAGATGTTTTTTTCTGCTGCGGCCGCGGGGTGAGGAGGGCGGGGACGGCAGCGCTGAGGGGGCCGGGGGTTCCTCTGGCCCTGGACGCCCAAAGTGATGCTCTGGGTGTCCTCCAGCACCCCCCTGACCTTCCCCTCGGACCTCCGGCCCGCGGTCACAGCTTTTCCTTTAAATCTTTGAGCACCCACCCATATCCCTCCATCCTCCACCATTTATCTGATGGCCAAACCCACTCACCTCTTCCCTTCTGGCTTTCCTGGAATCCCAGAGCCACCACGTGCTGCCACTTTTGGACCACTGGCCGTCGAGGTTTCATCAGCAAACATCAATTTTTAAAGGAGGCTTTCCCCGATTTTTGGTTTTGTTTCAGTCAAACCGTAGCATCACCTCGGAGCAAAGGTCTCTTCCACAAAGTTTGGATAAAAGGGCAGAGAGTTCTGCTCTGCTGGAGGGGGGTGCCAGCCTGTGGTGCCATTTCAGGTGGGCACTGGAAGTGCCCTGGAAGCTGCAAAGGCTTCACTAAAACTGGCTCCAGACAGCTTTAGATCCATGTGGTTTCCAAGTGGAAGGAATTATGGAGACAGGACCAATGGATGTCTGGAATGGTTACATAAGTAGGAGCCTTCAGCTGGGAAAAGGGGGATTATGGGCAGCACAGGGGAGGGAAAGGGTCATTCCCTGCTTCTCCTAATGCAGGAACAGGCACTGGAAGGGATGAGGTGGGACACAGGAAAACCCTCCTTGCTCATGAGGCTCTTTGCCACAGAACATCCTGGGAGCCAAATTTAAGGGTTGGGAGAATATTTAAGGGTTGAGGGAATATTTAAGGGTTGAGAGAATATTTAAGGGTTGAGAGAATATTTAGGAGTTGAGAGACTATTTAAGGGTTGTGAGAGTATTTAAGAGTTGAGGGAATATTTAAGGGTTGAGAGAATATTTAGGAGTTTAGAGAATATTTAAGGGTTGAGGGAATATTTAAGGGTTGAGAGAATATTTAAGAGTTGATATAATTCGATGGAAGAAAGATCACAGGGACTTATTTGGTGCTTTTTGGGGCTGCTCCTGAAATTGTCCCCTCAGAGGTGCAGGAAAGGAAGGTACAGGAGCTGATTTTGTGAGGACACAAACAAAACACACACGAAGAATGAGAATAAGAATAAGAATGAGAACAAGAATGGGAATAAAATAAGAATAAGAATAAGAATAAGAATAAGAATAAGAATAATAAAGGGGTTTCAGCATTCCTCTTGAATATCCACCAAAGCTTTTAACAGCTGAGTTGTCTCCAAATGAGCTGTTTGAGAGCACTTGCCTCATTTTAAAGAAGGAACACTAAATAACAAACCAAAGTTGATTTTTTTGGGGGGTGTTTTGTCAATATTATAAACCCCTCTTGCTTTAGTTAATTCAGCCCAAGGCTCTGTTTGCAGGGAGACCTGAGACAGGTTGCTCTGTGAGACCAGTGCAGAAGATTCCAGCTGCAGGCTGGGAAGGTTCCTGCCAAACCAAAAGTGGTTTTTCCAGTTTTGGAAAAGGGCAAAACCGTTTTCCCCGAGCCTGTCAGGTGCTCACGTTACAGCCTGGCAGCCTTGTGTTCCTGCCTGTTCCCCTCCAACAAATGGGGATGTGGGAAGAACAGAGAAAATCCCAACTCGTGGTGCTCTCTGGAGCTTCAGGGGCGAGGTGAGAGGATTGTTTTCTCCTCTTTGTGGTGCAGAATGAAGAGGGAAATCAGACAAATTTACCTTTTTTTTTTAACCAACTGTCCCGTCCAGCTGTTGCCGTGATTTTTGTGTCAGTGGTTCCTGGTGAAGAAGTGGTTTGTAAGGAAAGAGATGTGGGGTTGAAGCACTTTTTTTGGTTTGCTGGCTCCCAAAAATAACAGAAAACAGCTTTAAAACCGGGAACACAAAAATAAGTCCTGTGAAAAGTCTGGCTCTGCTTTCCCTAAAACCTCCCACCAAGAATCTGAGGGCAGCACAAAGATCCCCCCTTTTCCTTCCCTTCTAGGACTGAGCAGCCCCTCCTTTTGGTCTCTCCTTGCCTTCCATCTGCTCCCCATCCTCCATCCACTCCAGATTCCCAGTCCTTGGCTGGAATTGCTGAGGGATGTGAGTCCTGGGCAGCTCAGGCTTCCCTCAGTGCCTGGATAAAACCTCTCCAGAGCCATCCATTAGGGAATAACCGGCGTGGCTGCTAAAAATAACCACGGGGTGGTTTTTATTCTGCCCTGGAGAACGTAAATTGGCCTAAGATCTCGAAAACATCAAATAATCCCTAAATCCAAACGCGGGATTTTTTTGTCCCTCTTTTTTGTTTTTTTTTTGGACGCTGGATTTCCACGGGAGATTTTGGCCTCGTGTCGGGGCAAACCAAAGCATTTCAGGGCAAACCAAACCATTCCAGGGCAAACCAAAGCATTCAAGGGCAAACCAAACCATTCCAGGGCAAAACAAGAAAACATTTCAGGGCAAAGTGGTGTTTTAGGAATGGTTTTAGGACTCGGCTCCGGCGTTCCGGCCACGCTTCCCGGTGTTGTGAAAACAGAATTGTGTAACGTCTGCGAGCAGGGCATCAAAAAAATAAAAGCAAGTGCCTCCTGCAAATCCAGAACCCGCGTTCCTATGGAGATGCTGGTGAGGAGGGAGCCGGGTTTGGCAGGAGAAGGCAAAGCTGCTGTTTGAAATCCTCAGCTACATGGGGGGGGGGGAAGAGAATGCGGGGCGGGGGGGGAGGGGGGGTCGATCTGCGGGTGGGAAAGAGGGGAAGGAGCTTCCAGGGGGAGCTTTTGGCAGGATTGGGAGCCCCCCCTGCCCGTGGGGGTCAGGCCCTGACCGCCTCGTGTCCCCGCAGACGTGTCCCCCGTGGTGGCCGGGCTCATCGGCGCGACCGTCCTGGTGGTCTCCGTCTCGGTCACGGTGTTTGTGTGGACATGCTGTCACCAGCAGGCCGAGAAGAAGCACAAAACCCCCCCCTATAAGTTCATCCACATGCTGAAAGGCATCAGCATCTACCCCGAGACCTTGAGCAACAAGAAGAAAATCAACCGGCTGCGCCGAGACAAGAGCGGGACCCCCAAGGAGGCCGCGCGGGGGAACCTCCTGGTGGAAGCGGCCGAGTCGGGGCTGGCGGGCCCCGACAAGGCCCCGGCCGTGCCCACCGCGGCCCCCCGGGTCGAGCAGCTCCCCATCCAGGTGGATTATGGGGACGAACTCAGCCCGGACCGGAGCCTCACCCCGGCGGGCAGCAAAACCTCCTCGCCGTCCTCGCCGGGCGACGACGTGACGCTGGGCGAGCTGACCTTCTCGGTGGACTACAACTTCCCCAAAAAGGCCCTGGTGGTCACCATCCAGGAGGCCCGCGGGCTGCCCGTGATGGACGAGCACACGCAGAGCTCTGACCCCTACATCAAGATGACCATCCTGCCCGACAAGAGGCACCGCGTGAAGACCCGGGTGCTGCGCAAGACGCTGGAGCCGGTGTTCGACGAGACCTTCACCTTCTATGGGATCCCCTACAGCCAACTGCAGGACCTGGTGCTGCACTTCCTCGTGCTCAGCTTCGACCGCTTCTCCCGCGACGACGTGATCGGAGAGGTCGTGGTGCCCCTGGCCGGCGTCGACCCCAGCACCGGCAAAGTGCAGCTCACCAGGGAGATCCTCAAGAGGAACATCCAGGTGAGTCGTCTCCAGCGCTTTGGGGACGATCCTGGGGCTGATCCCAGGCTGATCCCGGGGCCGATCCCAGGCTGATCCTGGGACTGATCCCAGGCTGAACCCAGGGCCAATCCTGGGCCAGTCCCGGGGCTGATCCTGGGACCGATCCCTTGCCTGATCCTGGGGCTGATCCCAGGGCCGATCCTGGGCTGATCCCGAGGCCAGTCCCAGGCTGATCCCGGGCTGATCCCAGGGCCAATCCTGGGCCAATCCTGGGCTGATCCTGGGGCCGATCCCAGGGCTGATCCCGGGCTGATCCCAGGGCTGATCCCAGGACTGATCCCAGGGCTGATCCCAGGATGATCCCAGGATGATCCCGGGCTGATCCCAGGATGATCCCAGGCTGATCCCAGGGCCAATCCTAGGCTAATCCCGAGGACAATCCCAGGCTGATCCTGAGCTGATCCAGGGCTGATCCCGAGCTGATCCTGGGGCCGTTCCTGGGCCAATCTCTGGGCTGATCCTGGGGCTGATCCCAGGCTGATCCGGGGGCTGATCCCAGGGCCGATCCCGGGCTGATCTTGGGCTGATCCCAGGACTGATCCCAGGCTGATACTGGGACTGATCCCAGGGCTGATCCTGGGGCCAATCCCAGGCTGATCCTGGGCTGATCCCAGGGCCGATCCCGGGCTGATCCCAAGCTGATCCTGGGCTGATCCCAGGCCAATCCCAGGGCCAATCCCTGGGCTGATCCTGG